AGGATAGTAGAAAACCTATAAATACACAGACAATACCTAAATCAATCTACTGGCATGTCCCTGGATTATATTCAAATCTGCACATTGCAAATGCAGGCGTTTGGCAGCAACTATGACTTTTTAAAGACTGGTAAAAGTGTGTTTCCTGCTGTTTACACCTATTACAGTTTGAGAATGTTTTATACATTTACAAACGTTAATGTTTTTGTACCTGAATGTTAATCTGTTAATCACAGAGGTACGCAACAGCATATTTCCGTTTCTAAAATATGATTGTATAGGCTAGATTGTTTCTGAATTTTACAAACTAGCAAACCACTGATCAACCAGTACAGTGATCTTCTCGCCAGTTATTTGCTTAGTTGAAGGTAGTGCATATTGGGGTTTTGCATTCATGTTCTCTCTTTAATGGTAAATATGAAATATTGCACTTGAATATTTTGTATTTTTATAGTCAGGCAGCAGGTGGCACACTAGTCTGCTTTTCACAGGTTTAGCTGCTGTGTATACCTGAAAGAAGATTGCGGTTTACAGTTCCTGGTAGTTGCTAGCTTACAGTTCCTAGTAGGTCCAAGCTGAAATTTGCTCACACACACAAGTCAAGAAGCCAGAGCAGTGACTCAAGCCTGCTTCCTCTTGCAGGGAAGGTCACAGAACACTGTATGTATGCAGGGTATGGTTAAGAGTTACAATTATGGACTGCTGTTCATTTTAAAGGGGGGTGGTTCCTGATTGTTAATTGATGTGTTGACTAATTTCCTGCTGTTAAAGATATTTACATGATTTTGTAATGTTGTTTATTACAATGACCATGAAAAGAAAGGGGGACACCTTCAATTTTGTGGGAACTTATGTACCAATAAAGAAAACCAATTGCATTCAAAAAAGTCCCACTCTAATATTTTGTTGGACTGCCTTTGATTACAGCACACGTTCGCCATGGCATCATTTTGATAAGCTTATGCAATGTCTCAACATACTGTATATTAATTCTCACCAAGATCTTGTAGTGATGGGAGAGTCTATACTGCGTAGTCTTCTCCAGCACATTCCAAATATTCTCAATGGACTCTGTGGTGAAAATGCCCCATTAATCATGGCATTGTCATCTTGAAGTATGGGGAAGAAAAAAAAAATCAATTTATGGAAAAACCAATTCACCTTGGTTCACTACAAGATAGGTGTGTGTATATATCTACATATAGATCTAGATCTATATATTGATATATAGATCTATATATAGATATATACGCACACATACACACCTTGTAGCGAACCAAAGTGAATACATCACATAGTAAGTGATCCTCCGAAAACCACACAAGTTGGAGTGGCTTAAGGGATGATTGACAGGGTGTACCCTTCGAAAGAAAGTGCAATATAACAAGAATTTGAAAGAACGAGCTTGAACAAATAAGAAAAAAAAAAAAAGAATAGGAAATGGAAATTCTGTAACATTTTAGCAACTATGGGCTTATAAAATAATTACAGCAGAGAGACTGACAAAATCTTCCGTTTCAGTGTTTGTGGGTAAATTAAATACCAACTCTAATCTCTTATATTTCAGGCGCTTAGGTTAGATAGGGAAGTAACCAAATAGAAATTAAGTTTGTTTAAAAATGGGTTAAGAAAAGCAATTGGAGACTTTCCAAGGTACACAACCTTTATAGCTCCAGGGACTGACAGCATTGGGAACTATTCAGAAAAAGAAAACACTTTGTACAGAAGCTTTTCTTTGTTTTACCTGGAGTTTCTTTAAAAATGTAAGTACTGTTTGCTTCGTGTGATTACTGTGGACTAAACTTCTAATTACTAAAAAAAAAGTGCCTAAATGGCAAGTAGTCAAGGAAAGGGCTTCACTGAAGCTTTGGATACAATGGATCTGTCAGGCTTTTAATGCGGTCTGTGACCCCACTTGGGATATCTATCCCTTGTTTTCTGTGTTGTCATCAGGTGAACCTCTCCAACAAAAAGCAAGACATTTTTTTTCTTTTTAGAAGTGTGGGAAGGGTTCAAACCTCTTTCTTGATTTTACTGTCTGTGTTCTGCCAGGGATACTCCTCATTTCCTGTATGGTCACTTAGACAGGAAATGAGGAGCTATCCCTTCTAAAACTGCATCAAGGTTCAGGCTCCTCATTGCTATATTAGCTTTACTAGTGAGTTACTAACTTGAAGCATGTGTGCTAGAGTTTAGGATTCACTGTACAGTAAAGTGGGACATAAAAATTAATATATGCACAAATGAATGGCGCTGTAGCCACGCCCTCCGGCCGCAATGCGATCCGCCGCACGGGATCGCAAGGCACATTGTGCCTGTGGTCCGATCCTGTGCGATCAAAATGCAACAAGCACTATTTTGATCGCACCGGACCGGAGGCACAATGTGCTTTGCAATCCCGTGCGGCGGATCGCATTGTGGCCAGAGGGCGTGGCTACGGCGCCATTCACTTGAATGGCCCGCCACGTCCCCTCCGGGCCAGAACGCACTGCATCTAGTGTGACTGAACACTGAAATATTTTTCAGTTTTGAAAACTGTGTGAAAGGGTTAGAGTTTCTTTTTTTCTTGCTGGGTCTCCACTGGGGATATTACACTCTCTATTGCCCATGATGACTGTCATCGCCTGACTGAAAGAGATTGGAAACATATAAGTTTCACTACTGAGCAGGCTATCTGCTTTTAATTAGATGAGCGGGATGATTTTCCCTTTTCCTATAAAAAACAAGACAAAGAAAAAAAAAAACCCTTTAAAAAGAGGTTGGAAAAAAATCATATAGGATTCATTCATTATCTATAACAGGGGTGCCCATTAAGTAGATCGTGATCTACCAGTAGCTCTCAAAGCTGATGCTGGTAAATCACGAAGGGAGCCAAGCTCTCTGACACCTTTCTGGTGGATACTGGTGGTTGAAGTGCTATGTATTACATCAAAGAATATTAGTTTACACAGCCTGTTGCAATGCAATGTTTGCAAAATACAGCAAGATGAGCCAGGAGAGAGAGCAGGGAGAGACAGCCAGGAAAGAGAGCAAGGAAAGAGAGCAAGGAGAGAGAGCCAGGAGAGAGAGCAAGGAGAGAGAGCCAGGAGAGAGAGCAAGGAGAGAGAGCCAGGAGAGAGAGCAAGGAGAGAGAGCCAGGAGAGAGAGCAAGGAGAGAGAGCCAGGAGAGAGAGCAAGGAGAGAGAGCCAGGAGAGAGAGCAAGGAGAGAGAGCCAGGAGAGAGAGCAAGGAGAGAGAGCCAGGAGAGAGAGCAAGGAGAGAGAGCCAGGAGAGAGAGCAAGGAGAGAGAGCCAGGAGAGAGAGCAAGGAGAGAGAGCCAGGAGAGAGAGCAAGGAGAGAGAGCCAGGAGAGAGAGCAAGGAGAGAGAGCCAGGAGAGAGAGCAAGGAGAGAGAGCCAGGAGAGAGAGCAAGGAGAGAGAGCCAGGAGAGAGAGCAAGGAGAGAGAGCCAGGAGAGAGAGCAAGGAGAGAGAGCCAGGAGAGAGAGCAAGGAGAGAGAGCCAGGAGAGAGAGCAAGGAGAGAGAGCCAGGAGAGAGAGCAAGGAGAGAGAGCCAGGAGAGAGAGCAAGGAGAGAGAGCCAGGAGAGAGAGCAAGGAGAGAGAGCCAGGAGAGAGAGCAAGGAGAGAGAGCCAGGAGAGAGAGCAAGGAGAGAGAGCCAGGAGAGAGAGCAAGGAGAGAGAGCCAGGGGAGAGAGCAAGGAGAGAGAGAGCAAGGGAGGTTTTTTTTTTCCGTTGGTAGATCTCATGTAGCTCCTCATTTCAAAAGTAGATCTGAACACAGAAATTTGTGGGCACCCCTGATCTAGCACAATGCAGTGCAATAAAGAAATGGGTTCTATTGAAGAACAAGAGAACAGGTGTTAAAAATAACACAAAAGGCTTCACAATGTAGGTATCAACTGTATTTATGTTGCTCGGACTGATGGTTACTCTGTTGCACCAATCCCCTGCTACTAAAATCCTATGCAAATACTGACTGTAAAATAGTTTTTTAAATAGGGCTCTTATGGTTCCAATGGTGGATTGGAATGGCGGTAGGGGGGACGGGGACAGACAGTGAAGGCAAGTACAGCCACCCTATGGTTCCTATAACCCAATGAGGGGAATTTATCAAAACTGGAGCAGACAGAATCTGCAGCTGTTGCTTATAGTAACCCTTTAGCTTCTTTTTTCAGTTTGTTTAGTTAAGCTTTGGAAATGAAACATAGAAGCTGATTTGTGGTATGGACAACTGCTCCAGATTCAATACATTTTTCTTAATGTATTTGTAAGATTCTTCTAGGAAGCAAGTACTTTAGGATATGAATTGAGGTATACTGCAGAATGGACAGAGGAATTTGTCAAAAGTGGAGCAGATAAAATATGGAGCAGTTGCCCATAGTAACCAGTCAGCTTCTTTGTTCACAAGCTTTAAAAATGAAGGATAAAAGCTACTTGTTTGCCATGCGCAGCTGCTCAAGATTTTGTCTGCTTCAGTTTTGATCAATCCCCCTCACGGTATATAGCCTCTATTTTCTCCTGGTCTAGTTTCTAAAGACCCTCTTACAAATTGTACCCGTTCAGTCTCTGAAGTAACGATGTTCCAACCATAAGGTGTAGGAGATAGGACCAAGCACCAAATTCCTTGGGAACACCATTCGATTACCAAATTACAGATGCAGTATAAAACAGGTTCAAATAAAAAATAAAACACAGATAACTTTTCAATTTCAAAACAAAATTTATTTCCCATCACTTAATACAGAAACACAATTTATACAAATATACACTGGGCAGATGCTGGTCTCAATAGTATACAGTCACTTTCGTTTGCTGATTTTCATGGAAAATTCCATGCAATGGCAGGCCAAGAACCCCAGAAACAGCTAACCTGAAAGGGTCAATAAAAAATTGACCAAGTGCTGATTTGATTTTACATGGAAATCACTGCATTGAAAGATAAACTACAGACCATCTCAGATCACCAACCATCCCCAAGTCTTTCTGCTGTTGGTGACAAAAGGACTGTTCCGAACATATCAGGAAGCACTAGAATGCATTTTTTTGGAGGCTGCAAGCATTGCTCTGACTTTAGCCATGAGATCCTGCAAAGAAGAGATACAAAAAAATAGGATTCACTTCTGTATATTTGTTCAAAATACAAAGGCAGGAACTGGATGATACAGTATGAATGTTTGTAGAACACTAATTTTTTAATAAAGACACAACTGTGATGTTTTACACTTGTTCATAAACTGCCAATAAAACTTAACGGTGCAATCAGGGTGTCAAATGATCCAATAAGCCACTTTACATTGTGTTCTATTTTTGTTTGATTACATTTGTAACACTGTTATGTGCCAGCTTGTTCTTTATAGTTCTGTGTTCATGCCAAATAGAACCATTTCAACAAAGGTTACTTATGTACCACATGCATGACAATGTCTGATTCAAGGAGTCTGACTCCAGCTCATTAGAGAACAATTAATGCCCGGACTGTTAAAATATTAAGGCAATTCAATGATGACATTACTCCCTTCTGCCTTCTTTTTACCACAAAAATTATTAGCTCAAGTCATAGATGTATAATACACTTCAAATAGCATTTTAAAAAAATCATATACATATAATTATATGTAAATACTACAAAAAAAGCATTATGTACAGTTATTTAACCACTAGCAGTTTAAAAACATGGAATTCTAAGCAGGAGCAATTTGTAAATGAAAATACTCCCCAATTTGCACTTACATTTGTAAAGACAATTATGTACATGGTAATTATTATGACTGTCTAGGCCTGACCTATGGAGAAATGTTTGTCTGATATTTCATTGTGATTGTATAACCTTTGCTGAAAAAAATCAAATCTGGTTATTTAAACAGAATTTGAACATATTTTGAATAATAACCAAAATAATAAAAAATGGTCCTGCTGTAGAGACAAATGATATCCCCTCAAATCTCTCATATCCATCACTGGATAGTATGTGAGGCTAGCAGTGGTGGTTGTGAGAAACAAGCACTCCATTAGGGGACTGTATATGTGAAGCAGAATCCTGTTATGTTTATACTAGGTTAAGTGAAGCAATCATTTCAAAATGACTCAACAAAATGAATTGGAACTACAATATTTATAGTGGGACTGATGTAGACCCATTTCCCAGAAATCTTGATCATTCAGCTGTCGGGTGCTGGACACTTAACAAGCCTGCATTGCCAAAAAGCAATCTGCTGCTCAACTGCTAGTCATAACTTTAGCTGCCATGGCACATTCAAAATCTGACCTATTTTTGCTGACCACTACTTGGAAATTTAGACCAGTTGACAAGAACAGGTAATAGGAACTCTTTCCATACCCCAAAAAAGGACAGATTAACATGTAATCTTTATCCTGTTGATAGTCCCTGTGTAATTTTCATGGTATAGACTTTTAAAGTTATATTAAAAAATGGGTTATGCAGCAACTATTCTCCCAGGATAACCTAATGATTGCACCGTATAACTCCCTCAATGGATTAATATCAGAGTATCTGGATTTAGCATATGTGACTTTGTATTTTTTTTATCAGTAGAGGATTGCTTTTCATAATGTTGTGTAATGTTAGAATTCCCACCAGACTTTCCCTTCCTATGCACTGAAGATCCCTGCACAGTTTCCATGTGTTTAATTACTTCATTCATTTAACCCATGGCCTATGCTGACACTACCAATTAGGGTCTGATTTGTTCTAGTGATCGTAACAATGGTTAGGCAGCTTAGTAGATTCAGATAATTAAAAATATTTCACGCTGCAATTACCTCCCATTACGAGCAAGTGAAATGTGAACTTGCAAAGTTAACCCTTCATTTACAGTCTACCGTATACCCCATGCAGTGGGACCAAAATATCCTTGCTAAGTTTATCTCAGCAAAAGGCTACACTAACGGGAGTGTTTAAAAATAAAGGCTTAGCTGTTTAATAAGCTGGATGTAATATGCCTAATTACATTTACATAATGTTAACATATAATAAGCAAGTGTATGGCTATTAAACCGTATTGTTTATTATACAAATGTACACAGTCTGCAAGAATTGGCAAATGTCATCATTTACCGTATGTAAGATCTGTATTATATAAATTGACTAGATGTATATAAGCACATTTGTAAAATGTACAAACCCAATAGTTAATCTAAAAACAGAACAGGTTACTGTTCAGGTCATATTTTTCTGAACAGATCAGGGAGTACCATGGTACTATTACAGTAACATGGTACTATTAGTACCATGGTACTACATGGTACTATTACATATTATAGTTTAGCTGCTTTATATCCCGAGGTCTTTGAATTAATTTCATTCTAGAGCATTCTTTTTCTGTTTTTAAAACATGTCATATTTCCCTTAATTCTTTTACATACCCTAATTGCTTAATTTGTTAGTGCTTGTTCACACCAATTGCACACTGCAATTGGTGTGAACAAGCCCTTAAGAACATACACCGCATTCTTTTGAAAAACAAGTTCAATAAACCGAGTTCTATTCCATAGATCTACTTTTACTTTAAACAAACCTGTAGCAAACTGGCCAATTTAAATTGAGCACATGATGAACAGAGCATGAACTGAGGTTATCTTGAGTTAGAAGCTACCAAGGTATAGGCAAATCCTGCTTAGCCCAGGCTATCGCCTACCTATTGGCCCTTTAAAGTGATTTCTGACCAATAAGGAAAGCTCAGAAGGTGAGCCGAAGCACAAAACAGGAAACATCCAGTTTACATATAACTTAAGCTGTCATGATCTATGGAGCTACTGAAGGGTTTGACTTGGTTTTCCCTAATGGAAACCGCTCCTTATACAGTTTTAAGTACAGGATCATTCTGAACTGCCAGGTTTCCTTTAGGTAACATAACCACAGGTCATCCCAAGGAATCCCCCCCCACCCCTTCTTTTTATTATTAGAAAATGCTGATGACATCAATACCATTACTATATACTTTAAACCCTTTGAGCTTTAGAAGAGCTGTGATATAAAGAAAATCTTCAGCTATATACCACTTTAATATACAGACATAACAGCTATACTAAAGACTGCAAGCCTATTACAGAAAAACCTCTAATTTTACAGGGTCTGAGATACGATTCGGTCCTACAGTTCATTTACTGTGCAAGAATTTGCAACTCTCTACTGTGTGCTCAAACCTAAATTATTCTACAGCAAAGGAAGCAGACATATCCATTTATTTCAGAAAGTACTGATAGTGAACCACTTTACTTGTGCTAATGGAACAATGATGATTAGAAGAGATCACAGAGCCGCTACAGACGAAATGCAATATTACCTGAGTTATTTTGGTCTGAACGGAAGAGACAATTTCTGACGCAATATGGCCATCTTTGTCCTGGGAGTTTCCCCTGCAAATACACAGCAATCAGTTACGCCAACAGAGCTAAGGAAATGTAACCAAAGTGCCTGTGGTACACTACAAATGTGGAAAGCTAAAAACGATATAAACCAATTATGACTTTCTTTTTTCCCCCTTATTTTAAGTTAGTCATCCACAAACTGTGAATCTACTGGGAGAATTGAGCTGAATAGAAGTGTGAAAACGACCAAATGATCAGTCTTGTCAATTTAAAGATGCAGTTTGAGCAATGGTATCTGTCTATATCTTCAGGTATCCTATCAACAAAAGCAAGCCTGAAAGCAAGGAGAGCTTTTTGGAGATGTAAGTCAACATGCCCTATAAGTTTAGGGTGAGATTTAAATAATAGAACCGGAAGTATGGAGATGATTGGTGTACACTTCGAAAAAGTTGAAATTCCTGATTTACAAACTCGATCTTGGTCCGTATCTAAAGCCAATGGATGTACATGACAGATGGTAATAAGCAATGGTAGTATTCCTTTAACACTGGACTCCCCCTATTTGTATGAAATATTTACTCAAAGTAAAATCCATTTCTCTGCGTTTGTTAAAGGACACAGAAGAGATTGCTTAGGTCTTGACTGCTAGGTTAAAGCACCAACTTAAAATGTAGGAAACTAAGTACAAAAATAAATGCATAGCTTAGTGGTGGCCAAACATCTGCTAGAGGCAGGTTAGTTAGTTATAAAGCAGTCAATCGAACAATAACTGGTTACAGACACAATAACCAGAGGGGTGGATGCAATTGGGAAATCCCAAAGCAGTGTCAACTGAGGGGGTAGGATAAAAACAGAATTATTTCCCTTAGGCAGTCACAAGCACATTGCCACCTGCAGAGATTGATAGACAGATTAGCAGTCTTTGTAAAAAGAGTGCAAGCTCAGAGACCAACTGCTGGTCATCTGCAAAAATCCAAGAACCGCCCCTTGCATGATTTCCTGAGCTGAAAGCATCACACCAAATGACATGTGACATCAATGTAGACTGTGCAGGATCAGACTCAAGGCTTTGGGCATAGTGGGAATCAATGATGCAGACGCCTCTATCCCTCGGGATCAGGTCTTCAAAACCCATGGCGTTAAAGCCAACAACCGTGAAGCAGAGTAGAAAACTGGCCCTTGAGACATAGATCTGGATAATTGTAAAGAGCACACAGAGCATCCACCAGACCAGGTGGGAGTACCGCATCTGCATGGTTAAACCCGGAGCAATGAGGGTCACCAGAATGGCCTCCCTCTTGATTCATGTAGAACAGGCAAGGAGGTAGGTTTGTGAAGGCTGAAGGAAAAAAATAAAAAGGGGAACCAAAATTCCCAGCTGGAAGATTAGGTCCTTACTGGTTGACACTAGGCAAAAAACTGATCTGCCTCTAGCAGATGACCATTTGGACACCAGCATGGGCATTCCTTGGGTTGTGGTTTTGTTTCTATTCCTAGTGTCCTACTCCTGAAGATGGCGCTCTAACCCAAGGGTCAAGATCTAAAGTGTCCTTCAATGAACTTAAGAGAAATTAAGACATGGTAACATTTTACTACATGGTATGTCATATTTTAGCAGACAAAGTTTATTGTACTTTGTCTGAAAACTTATATATATATCACTATTTTTTCTGAAGCTGCTCTCGAAGGCTCGGCTTCATTTTTGCTCTAGCGAAAATAATGATACCTTACCTGTATCGCTCTTGGCTGGACCCTCTGCTCTCCACGGGAGAGATACTGGTTGAGTGTGTTGAACTGTGTGCTCCTTGTCTGCTGGGTGAGCGGGAAAACGACCTCACTTTCGTTTTGGATTCTGACCTCGAATGCCTTTTCTTCCGATTGTCATGTGGACTTCTGCGGAAAACAGAATAATGCAATTTAAGAGAATTCCATCATCAAAAGGATAATACATGCACACAAAGGGAAGTGCATTATCTGCAAAATAAGCTATGTTATAATGAATGTTGATACACATACATATTATGTAAGCCAACACACACTGATCCACTGGGTGAGCTAAGAGACATGTGAATTATGCACACAATCAGCTGACATTGGTTTCTTGTTTATCCAATTAGAAGGGAAGGATCTAGGCTCCACAGAGATTTCCAATAAGCTGAAGGAGCTCCGCATGTTAACAAGTGCTTCTGATGGTCAAATAGATGACTAATCTTTGCTTAGTCATCTCAGGTAATGTCTGAATCATCCAGCTCATGAATGGACATGCTTAAAAAAAAATATGCAAATCTAAAAGGTACATTTATAGAAACAACTAAACAATGCCAATAACTGCCTAGGTCAAAAAAATGCTTACAGAACAAAGCATGCATCCAAATTTCAGCATATCTTCTTGTAATACAAACTGAAATTATTCTAACTTTATTAACAGAGAAAACATACATAGAGGAAAAAGGCCATCATAATGGACTGGTTTACAGCAATTACAAAGTAGTAACATTTTGGCTACTACAATACAAGTAACAGTAGACGCATATTAAAATGCCACAAAGCTGTGCTCTTCTAGTTTGTCTTCGGGTGGATAACAAGAGTTACGGCCAATAGCCCCCATCCTAAAAAAAATGCTATTCCAGTTCCCCTTCGTGGCTGGCCACCTGTCTAAATGTGAAAGCACTCGAACATGTAATCTCTACAAAAGATCAGATTTGCTAGGAGCTCATGTAAAATGTTGATGAATGCTGTCTTTTGCATTCAGAAAGCAGGGATGTTGAAACGCAAATGCAGACAAAAAGCTGCATTTGACCTACACTGCACGCAATGCACATTTACCGCATTAAGTCAAATGCAGGCCCAAAAAAAGAAAATAGGAATCTGACAAGTGTTTGATGTACATTTACACAATGATGTACACTCATACATGTTAAATGTATGAAATAATGTCCATCTACATGAGCTCTTGCCCTCCATTTCAGCAGAGCTTGTATGACCAAGTGCCTAGGAATTTAGATTTAGGCCCAGCACTAAAGACAGCCTGGAGCAGCGGTCTCTATGGGAAAGGCAATATTGTCAAACCTTTTACTATTCTACCTATGTCAGCAAGACTGTCGACACAGATATACATTAACATTTATATTAGATGTAAACCCTAACTAAATGGGATCTAGTAGTCCATTAAAAAAAAACAGAAGTATGGCCCCAAAAAAATGAGCTACTGCACATTTACAAACCACAATGTGTATTGTAAAACTGCAGGTTTCAGAGTCCAAACTGGCAAAGGAAAATAAAAAAGAATGGAAAGGGGATACAAAAAAACTGTGAAGAGAGCCTGTTTATTTAACCTGTCAAAAACACATGATTGGCTTTCTGCCTATTGCAGAACTGTCTCTGTTGTGTTAAGCAGAGGAAACTTTATCAGGCACTGCAGGCTTTACACCATGGCCCACATATTATAAATGGGCCAAACAATGTGGCCTATTATACCAGTAGCTTACCACAGAACGTGCAAACAATCCAATCTATTTTTTTTTATCCTTAGCTGCAGCTCCAGGCTGCTGATATCCTGACATTTCTTTGCAGTCATTTTGTGCCTATGTACATGCACTGCTGTAATGGCTTCATGGTGTGTCTCAGGACAGATTTCCTGATGCTAACAGTGGACCATGCCTGCATAATGTGTGTTGAAATGGCAATTCCATCCAATGAAAGCGCGCGCGAGAGAGAGAGAACTACATACACATTAAATTCATGGTAAAATTTTTTTTTTTTTTTAGAATACTGTATTTACAGCATTTTTGTCAGGTTTAACTTTTTTTAAATATGTTTTATAGCTATAGCACTGTAGGGATGTTTACAACAGTTATCCCTTATGGTTTAAATATTAAAAGTAAATAAATAAAATTGCAACAACTGCTGCAGCAATTGTTGTAAGAGTTCGCATTTGTCGAAACCCTGTCACTTCTGTTGGACAGCAGGTAAATGTTGACAAAAATCTAAAAGCATGTGCATAAAAATGGTGACTAAAAAAAAAAAAGTCACGTATGTGACACATGCCTCAGAACACTATCATTACATGTATGAACTACTGTCCATACAGTCATCTAAATATGTTTCCCAACAGTGGCCCATAAGAGTGCTTATAGGAGGGAGAAAAACAGGAGGCTGTCACCAATGTGGTATTTTTAAAGACCAGAGAGTGGAGCAGTGCCAGTCTGCATGTAATGAATAGTGTTGTTTCCCTCCTATAAAGCCATCAAATCTCAGTATGGCTACATAGGACCCCAAATATATCAGCAATAAAAAAGCTCCCATAAAACATTTGAATTTACATTTCTAATTTAAGCTAGAGTTACCCTACCTGTAAAACAAGTATAACATTAACATCCATTCAGATGCCCTTTTTCCTAGGTTATTTTACACTTTTCAAACAAGATGTGTAATGTAATTCATTGAACATAAAGTCACTCAGCTACATCTTGAAGCTGCTGAAGCAGTGTGTTTAATAGCACTGCTGGCTGCTCTCGTCAGTGGCTGGTTAGCACATGAAGATGTGGCTCGCAAGGGACAATATATTTACTATGTTTTCCACAGAAATATATTAAGTCATTTTATATTCAGGCTTTTATGTACTGTTTGGAGGAAATTATTTATTGAAAGTTTTATAAGCAGAAAAACAAACAAGCAACCTCTGCTTTGTTTCATCACAACTGTAGATTACACATTTTAAGAGGAGGAAGGAAAAGAGCGACTGCAGGCACATCTGCCTGTCAATAAAACTTCTATGTGATGTGGGGGCTCTATCTTAAAAAAAAACAGCGCAGCTGTATTTTAACTGCATTGCTAAGCAGTTGTATGTACACGTCTTTGGACTACTGAACATGGAGCTTTATTTTGTAAATACCAGAGGTTCGGTATTGGGTAGAGTTAGCATTAAAAACTACATTTCATTTCTACTACTAAAATGATATACACAGGTGGTCAAATAAGGTATGATGTATGAAAACCTGAGGAAAGAAGTAGAGGGACTGGATTTCACAAATTATTAGAGTTTAGCTTTGTTGTTTTTACCTGCAGTCAGAAAATGACTTCTGAAAACTGGTTGGCTGTCACTTTCCTTTAACCCACTTGATAAAAATAAGTTTTGTTGTAAATAACAATTTTTTGGTTTACTCTGCTTCACTTCCAGTATTCATAAAATGTATACATTATCTAATGCTTTGTGGAGAGCACTAGCACTGGCATCCATCAAATCTACCCAGTTATACAGACACGGAGACTACAAATAACAATTTCAAGATGGTGTTGTCTTATATTTACATTGCTAGAGGGAAAACATACTTTGAATCTCTTACACGAATATCACTAAATGTATTTTATTAAACCCTTCTCAAGTGTTGGTGTTGCTGTTTAAGGCAAGGGCTTATCAGGAGCGGATCCGTGCACAGATCCTCTTCTGATCAGAGCGGTATAGACGGTATGTCCCCGCTGTGACATCCGTGTCCTTTTTTTTCGTGCGATGGAGGAAAAAACTGAAACTGCTGGACCCTGCGACTGTCTATGGGGAATCTGATGTAAACAGATATGTGTCCGTTTACATCAGATTACCCCAAATCCGGCATGATCCGATTCGTCGAAACAGAACACTGTTCCATCTGTTTTTTTGGACCCAGCCGAAGGTGGGGGTAACCAGATAACAATTAACAAATAACAATTTCAAGATGGTGTTGTCTTATATTTACAATTCAATTGCTAGAGGGAAAACATACTTTGAATCTCTACAGGAATATAGGTGGGGGTAACCAGGTCTAAATGGATGCTCGTCTGTTTACACACAGCTGCCCATAGACTTGCATTGGGCATCCGATTGGGTCTGTCTAAAAAACTGACAGACCGACCCGGTAGGAATGGCCGTCGGAAAGGGGCCTAAATCAGAGTAGCAGCTTTCAAAAAGTACCGGTATGCTTGTCTTTAAAGCATTCAATAAAGCCTTGCATTGTACTCACTCGGGTGTTGATCGTCTTTCCGAAATTGGCTGGTTATTACCTGCCAGTGCACCTGGTTCGTGCATTCTGCAAGAGTTTACGAGGAGAGCAGATAAAGCATGTTTTTTTGTTTTTCTCTTTACCTCCCCAAAAGACATCTAATAACACTGAGTAGACAATGAATGAGATATCAATGAAAAAAGAGCAGTGGCTGGCCAGATACCCTTATTGACTAGCCAGAGGGCAGATTAAGAGGAGACTAAGCAGTCTGTCTATTCCATACAGTTTATAGCACAGTAACCGGCACTGGACAACAAATTTTGTCTTCACGTAGCGTCATCATTGAATATGTGCGACGTGTAAAATTGGAGCAGCCCATAAGAACAAAAGGTATTGAACATTTCCGGAGCAGAAGCAAGAAAGATTACGCAATTAAAGTGACATTAAACCCTCAGATTTTTTAACATAAAACAATACTGTAATGTGTGCCTTACTGTAATCCATGGTCGTTTCCCTTCTCTTTGCTGCTCTTCCTTTTAAATCTGTATCTCTTCTCATGCTTGGGCAGAACTTCTGTTTTGCAGCAGACTGCCTTGTCTCTGGAATGGATACATGGTGTCTGTGTGTAGGTTTGCAACCTGAGCCAGCACTACAGGAAGAGGCACTCAGCTGCAAAGGGAAGTTCTCCCCAAGCATGAGAAGACATGAGGATTTAAAAGGAAGAGCAGCAAAGAGAAGGGAAACAACCATGGATTACAGTAAGGCACACATTACACTATTGTTTATGTTAAAAAAATCTGAGGGTTTCATGTCACTTTAAGTTTGCTAAAATCTCAGCAATACATTTTCATATTACAGTCAGCTAATGATCTGCTGCATAGAAAATAGAAATACAATGAGTCAATATATGTACTCAGT